ATTATTGTTTTTTTTTTTTTTTTTGGTTTTTCTCCGGTATCGGGAACCGAACTCACGACCTTGCGCTTGCCAGGCAGGCGCTTTTTGCCGCTGAGCTAAATCCCCAGCCCCTCTTTCATTATTGTTGTCATTTTTTTTTTTTTTAACCTGAAAGATTATTTCTGATCTGATGTCTTCTATGGCCTGATGGAGTTGTTTCTTTTTATCATTTCAGAAATTTCAGGTGTATGACTTCCAATCTGTTCTGTATTGATGTCTCCTGGACTTGTTCTGGGTGGGGTGGAGGTTTGAGATTCATTTTGCTCCTTTGTTTTGTCATTTTCAAAGATCTGGAGGTTCCCTGGAGCCCAGCCTCACTCAGGTGATGGTGTGGGAATCGGGGGGCAGGACCTGAAGGTCCTTGGTACTCAGCACAGCTCCTGCAATGGTGTGTAGGGGTGTGAGGGCTATCACTGATGCGCCTGAAGGTTTCTTGGGCTGAGTTGGCTCCATGCTGGTGGTGGAGGGGTGGGTGCATGGTTACTGAGTTTCCCACAACTGTCTAGGGATCAGCTTGGCTCCTGCAAGTTGTATGTGGGGGGTGGGCTGTGGTCACTGAGGCTCCTGAAGCTGTCCAAGGCTCAGCCTGGCTCCCATGAAGTGTAAGGGAGGTGGGGCATGGTCCCCGAGGCTCCCAAAGCTGTCCAGGGCTCAGCCTGGTTTCCACTCCAGTGGGGGAGGGGCAGGGGTGCCTCACTGAGGTTCCTGAAGCTGTTGTGGCCTCAGCTTGCCTCCCACCCCTGTGAGTGTATAGGGCAGCAGGGCATTGTAAACAAGGCTCCAAAAGCTGTCCAGGGCCCAGTCCAGCTCCCATGCTGGTGGGGGAGGGGCCTACCTTCTTGTTTTCTTAACAAGGTCTTTTATAGAACAAAAGTTTTAATTTTGGTGAAGTCCAACAATCAAGTTTTTTTTTTTTTTTTTCTTAAACTGTGCATTTGATGCCAGATCTAAGAACTCTTTCTATGTACTTCCTCCCAAATTTCTCAAAGGTTAAGAATTTTACATTTTATACTTAAACTGGTAATCCATTTAGAGTTAACTTTGTATGAAGTGTGATACTTATGATTTTTGTTTTGTCTTGTTCTTTTTGTGTATGGACACCCAACTGCTGCAGCATCATTTGCTGAACATGTCATTCTCCCATTTAATTGCTTTTGTTTTTGCAAAAAGAATCAATTGAGTAGATTTATGTGGACCTACTCTGTGTTCTTTGTTTGACTGCACCAATTTGTCCGTGCCTCCATAACACAAGGCTTGTGACCGGTGTAGCTTTCTGCCAACCCTTAACATTGGGTAGAACTATTTTTTTTTGTTTGTTTTTGTTTTTGTTTTTCTCCGGTACCGGGAACCGAACTCATGACATTGCACTTGCCAGGCAGGCGCTTTTGCCGCTGAGCTAAATCCCCAGCCCCGGGTAGAACTATTTATTGCATTATATTCTTCCCTTTACAGATTGTTTTAGTTGATCTGGGGCCTGTGGCTTTCCATATATATTGGTTAATTTTGTGTGCCAACTTGGGTGGGCCATGGAATGCTGAGATAACTGGTTAAACATGATTTCTCTGAGGTGCTTCTGGAAGAGATTACTATTTGAATTGGCTGGTTGAACAAAGTAAAAGGCCTCTCCAGAGTGTGTGGGCATCAGCCAGTCTACAGAGCGACAGATGAGAGTGTAAAGGTGAGAAAGGTAAATGAGCTGTGCTTGCGGTAGGACATGATTTTCTCCTGCCCCAAGTACTCTTGGTTCTCAGGCTTTCAGACCCAGAGTGGAATGTACACCAATGGCTCTGTGGCTCTCAGGCCCTTGAACAACACAAGTGGCTTTCCTGGGCCTCCAGCTTATAGATGGCATGTTATGGGACTTCAAGGTAATTTGTACCTTATGCATGCTTATATTTTATTAGTTCTATTTCTCTAGAGAACCCTTGTGTTGGTTACTTTTTTCTTGCTGCTGAGACACAGTACTTGACACCTAAAGTAAAGAGGGAAAGGTTTATTTAGCTCACAGTTTGTGGAGATTTTAGTCTATACTCGGCTGGCTCCAAGGCAGGGTGGCACATGGCAGAGGAGCAATAATTCATGGCAGTGGAAGACAGCAAAAGTAACAAGAGCAAAAATGGAGGAGCAGCAGCAGAGAGCAAACCTCTTTCCCTCCCTTATATTGTATGCAGGCTACTTGCCCCGGGGTGGGTGTAGTACTCACACCCAAAATCCCAATATTGGACCATGAATCAATCATAACCTCTAGAAGCCTGCCCCATGATTGCATGAGGCTTTGGGGGGGACATCTAGACACAAGGCACAACAACCTTAATATATCATATAAATTTTGGAACAAGCTTCTTTAAACATTTAGTTAAAATTATTCAGAGAGGCCATTTAAACCTGAGAATTTATTTGAAGGGAGCTTTTCAATTACTGTTTCATTTATCTAGTGGTTATAGAACTATTCAGCTCATTTATTTCCTCTGAATGAATTGGTATTATGTGGTTTTTAACAATTGATCAGTTTCTTCCAAATTGTTGAATTTATGAGAGTAACAGTGCTGATATATTCATGTTTTTCTCATAAGTTGTACATCCTTACAATGGATTACTATTCAGAAATAAAAACAAATGGATACTCATACACCATAAATAAACCTCTAAAGCATTATGCTACGTGAAAGAAGCTGGATTCAAAAGACTGCACACTGTGCAGTCTTTCATACGTTGTTCTGGAACACGACAGGAACACAATAGGAACAGAACGTAGATAGGCCTTGCTGGAGTGGGGTGGTGGAGTAGTGGGTAACTACACAGGGGCACAAGAAGATTCTGCACTATGTATTTCAAAGGCGAGTTATTAGGTATGTGCCGATAGTTTGTGATATTAATTACTATGAATATTGAAAGGAAACATTGAGGCTTTATTTTTACAAGTGTCTCACCTATTCAAGATACACATGGGTTAAATGATATAATTTTTGTTCCTTTTTTCTTTTGAGACAGGGTCTCACTGTGTAGTTAAGGCTGGCCTTGAGCTTACTATGTAGCCCAGGTTGGCTTCAAACTCATGGTGATCCTCCTGCTCAGTGGCAGAGTGCTCACCTAGCATGCACATGGCCCTGAGTTCAACTCCCCAGCATCACACATGCACACGCACACACACACACCCAAGAGAGAGAGAGAGGGAGGGAGGGAGGGAGGCAGAGGCGTTGGTAATTTGGACAGTGAGTCTATGCATGCAGGACCAAATAACTTAGAAAGCACCAAGATAGTAGAGGTGTTGCCTTTGATGGGGCAAAGATCCTTCATTGATTTCAACTGTGGAGAAGGCAGCTGGTGTGGTCCACATGCAACCCATAAAATAGGATTGCAAATTTACAAGAGAAGTTTATTGTGAAATTTGTCCAGTTGAGATAAGTAATCATGAATATAGATTGAGACTTTGATGAAGACATGCTGCTCTATGGTTCTAGAGGCACAGAACAGGGCAGTTGCATTCACTCAGAGAGAGAGAGAGAGAGAGAGAGAGAGAGAGAGAGAGAGAGAGAGAGAGAGAGAAAGAGAGGGAGGGAGGGAAAAGGAAGGAGGGAGAGAGAAGGGAATTTTATACTTTTTTGGTTGGTAGGATCTCTTTATGTAGTTCAGACTGGCCTTGAACTTGTGGCAATCCTCCTGCCGCAGCCTCCTGAGTGCTGGGATTACAGGCAAGCACCACCATGCCCCACCTTCAAGATTATAATATTTAACCACAGAATCTGAACTGGATTAAGAAAAATATAAGGATCTGTCTGGGGTGATGAATTGTAAAATATTGGTAGGGCTAATAGGTTGGAAGACCATATCACATTTGAAGAAATAGTCTACGAGGTTGTTGAAAAGATGAACTGGAAGGAAAGAAGGAGATAATCAGAAAAAGGAGCACTAGGAAAAGATATTTGAGCTAACAGTAGGATTACTAGTGACAGGTCTAGAGACTCCCTGTCCAATGAGACATCCACTAGCCATATGTGGCTATTTAAATCTAAATAAAATTTAGTTCTTCCATGGCGTTTCAGGTGGTTCGTGGTTGTATGTGGCCAGAGCTGTCCTTATTGGACAGTTCCTTTAAAGAGCCTTTTCTTTTTTTTTTTATTTTTATTTTTATTTTTTTTTGGTTTTTCTCCGGTACCAGGAACCGAACTCACGACCTTACGCTTGCCAGGCAGGCGCTTTTGCCGCTGAGCTAAATCCCCAGCCCCTAAAGAGCCTTTTCATAGTGAGTTCTACTGGGCAGTGTTGCCTTAGTGTGACCATGGGAGTGAGCAGTTGAGGAGGGCAGCAGGAACGACTGGAGGGGAGAATTAGAGACTGACAGGTCGTTCTGGCTGAGGATAAAATCACCAGAACTGAGGGGAGAGGAGTTCTGGTGAGAGGACTGAGGAGGAGGAACTGGGGAGTGGTGAACTTGGGCCGTCACCACCCATTAGCAGGTCCAGCCCCCGCACCACCCAGCACTGAGGTCTGTCCTCCACATGGGCCACACCACACTGCCCCCAGGACAGTGCCAGGCACTGGCATTCTCTCCAGGTGCTTGCCAAAGAGGAAACCGAGGCACACCAGGCCCCAGCCACCCTGGCCCAGGCCGACAGAACAGCGCCTCATAGCCATCCGTCAGTGCAGAGGTGCCCGAGTTTTCAGTAGTGTAGTTGCTTGTCTCCCAGATCCTGGGTGGGGAAAAGTGGACTGGAGGTGGGAACCCGGACTTCTGGCTCTGTCAGGTGTCAGGCTAACCTGAGACATCAGTTTCTGTTTTGACAGCTGAGTAACATACGACCACTGTCAGATCAATACAGGGCCACAGACATGGGGATGGTCTTTCTAAGACAGAATAGGGAGCAGCAAGGCCCAAATCTCAAGGTCACCATGAGGACACCGTGAGACAGACAGACCAGGTTAGACCTGGGGTTACCTGGGGACACCGTGAGACGGACAGACCAGGTTAGACCTTTACTGGGGCCCTTTCTTAGTTGATGATCTCAATGTGGAACTGCAGGTGAGTGGCAGTGACCACACAGTGGCCCCGGAGGTAGGCACAGGTCTGGCAGTTGTGGCATTGCCAGTGGCACTGGATGACATAGATGGCGTTAAGCACCTGGCAGTATCGCCAGTGGATACGCCACATACGAACCAGAGACTGGAGCTTGACCAGCGCCCTCTCTCTGACTGCATAGGCCATCAGCATTGCCCGCCGCCTCTTCTCCAGCATCTGCGCGAGGGTCTGTCGCCACCAGCACTGAATAATCCAGGCCCTGAGGGCTGCGTGCAGCAGAGTGCGGCGTACCAGGGTGCCCCGCCACCAGGCCTGGATCAGGATGGCTGCCTTCACTTTCTTTCTTAAGTTCTCCTGGACAGAGATAAGAGAGACCACTCAGGGAACTAATTTTCTGCCGCCAACTTCTAAGATGTTCTTGGAAGGGGCCCAGATTCTCTCCCTGCCAGCCCTTCCTCAAAGAACTCATGGGAGTTAGCAGGACAGTCTGGGCACCCGTGACCTGGCAGGGGTTCTTCTCCACAGCCCTGCCACCTCACCCACCCTCGGAGTCACAGCATCCTTTTGATTAAGTGGGGGTGATGGCAACGTGGAGTGGTTTTATCCCCCACGCTCTGCCTCTTCAGGGCTGCTTTGGTTGGGGAGGTTGGGCTTCCAAATGTTTTCGCCTCGCTTTTGTGTGTTAACACGGATCCCAAAACACATCGGCTGATTTTCCTTTGTCACAACCAAGTATTTTGATACTGGGGCCGGTTTTCAGCCCCTCGCCGGCATATTCTACTCCTGCCTTCTGGCTTTGGAACACACCACTCTCTGACTCAGGTCCTCACATTCTTGCTTACAACCCAGGCACTGTAGATCGGTTTCATTCCTTCCAACCACTCTCTCTGCCGCAGTCAGGCCCAGATCCAGACAGCCCAGGCTGAGAAGGGGATGGTGGGAGATGAGCCAGGGTCGAACTGATGGCTGCTTGTCTTACACTCTGGGTCCACAAAGGGCAGAGTCCCACCCGCTTCTGACAGAGATACTAGTGGTCTGGATTTCTCTTACCTGTGTGAACATCTACTCACCTGTGGTTGCGTTGGTTTCTTCTTCCCCTTTTTCCATGTAACTACTTCTTCATCATCCTCAATTATAATTAACACTAGGTTGCCTTCGGTCTGTCATCAGAATTAAATGGGAAACGTACAGATGAGCTAAGACGGTCGTTTCCCTCCATGGATCTGTGCAAAGGCACTCACCATTTTAACAGCCCCTCTTTTCCCAAGACCTGTGAAGCCCAGGAAGATGCCCACCCACCCCCAGTCCGCCTAGCATATCCAGCTATATCTCTTACACAAAATCTAACTCCCATGGCCTGTCTCTAGATGGTTCATTAGCTCTGATTTCTGTTTCCCAAGGTCTGGCCTGACTAATACGAGTGAGGGAAAAGCTGTGAATTCACAATCGCATTATGACATAGAGATGAAGGTATCTGCCGCGGAGTTGAGTCTCCTGGAGAAAAAAGCCTCATGGGAAACTGTAATACCCACCTGCAGTGCTCTGTCGGAGATCTGCTGCAGCTCAGGATGGAGAGAGAGAGCAGCTGGCTGACATTCCACACCAGGTGTCTCCTGCTGTGACGCTCACTTACAAACCCTTCTCACAGCCAGTCACAGGAGAGTGGGGTGTCGGTGGTGATACTTCTCCACACAGCTCTCTTCTCAGATGTGACTCTTCCTCCTCTTCCCTTTACTCAGGCTTCATTCAGTAGTACTCCTCAGGAACCCAGACAAAGACGGGCCCAACGAATCTAGAAGACAACGGTGGAGCTAAAAGGCAGCATTTTGACAAGACAAGTATTATAGAGAAACGTGTCATAAGTCCAGGTGATTAAGAAAGAAGAGAGTGGAAAGAGAAAGGTGAAATAACCACAGGGAGATTTAAATAAATGTGAGAGGATATTACATTTAGAACACTGAGGGGACATGATTTCTAGCAAAACATACATTGCCAAAGCTTGATGCATTGAGGAGGCCATTAAAGATCCACCATAAATAAGGGACCAAAGAGAGCTAATACACATTTTAAAAAGCTTACAAATTCAGAAATTTCCAAGAATTTAAGCTATTCAAAGATATTATAAAATATGAAAATTTCCGCCAAGTATTTCATAGGGCCAGTATTAATTTCCGGAAATGTCAAGCTAGAATTTTGACTATAAATACATTGATTTAGGGAAGAGAGGCTATCTTTATGCTATTGGGTTTTCCCTTCTAAAGATGCGGATTGTGCTTCTGTTTGGGAATTCTTTTCTGTCTTTATTATAAAGTCTTGTCAGGTGTGGTGGTGCACGCCTGGGAGGTCCCGGCACTGTGGGAGGCTGAGGCACGAGGATCACCACGAGTTCAAGGCCAGCCTGGGATACATAGTGGGTTTAATGCCAGCCTGAACTGCATACCGAGACTGTCTCAAAAAAAAAAAAACAAACTTTGAACATTTGTCTGTAAAAGTCTTAATTAACTAACTAATTTCTTCGTGGAGCTGGGGGTTGGATGTAGGTCCTTGTGCGTCCTCAGCAGGCACTGCACCACTGAGTTACATCCCCAGCCCCAGGTGTCTTTGCAGTTATTAGTCATCGTCCATGAAACTCACCGTTGAATGTACAATTGAGTGATTTTTAGTTTATAAGGTTGTGGAACTGTGGCTACTATCTGACTCCTGAACATTTTCATCCCCCCAAAGAAACACCACACCCATCGCCAATCCTCCTCTGCACTTCCCATCGCTGCTTCACTCCAGGTCTGCATCAGTCGGCTTACTCTGGATATTTTACACGATTAGATGTAAGACTTCTTTCACTTAGCACACCGTTTTTAAAGTTATCCATACGGTAGCTTGTATCAATACTTCATAAATTTCTATTGCCAAAGCATTCCTTATTTCATGGATATACCACATCCTAGCTATCTATCTACTTATTCCTAAATATTTGGGTTGTTTCCCCTCTGAACTGTTATAAATAATGTTGCTGTAAACCTTCATGTTTGTGTGGAGATATTTTTTTCTCTGATATGTACCTAGAATTAGAAGTTCTGGGTCATACTGTAAACGAAATGTTTAACCGTTTGAGAATGGGTGCACTGTTTTTCACAGGGACTACTATTTTACATCTGTATGTGTACATGCTTACTCTTCTAGACCCTTTAGACATTTATCTGAGTTTTTGATGTTGACTTATTGGATACAGGGAGGTATCTTCCTTGGGTTTTGATTTTTAATGATTAATGATGTTAAACTTATTTTCACATGTTCATCGGTCACTTATATATCTTTATTTTATTCTTTCTTTTTTTTTGGTACCAGGAATCAAACTCAGAACCTTGTGCTTGCCAGACAGCCACAGTGCCACTGAGCTATATCCTTGGCAACTTATGTATCTTTGAAGAAATGTTTATTTAGATCTCCTGCCTATTTACTATTATTATTATTATTAGTATTATTATTTGTCTTTTCTTGAGACAGGGTTTCACTATGCAGTTTAGGCTGGCCTTGAGCTCACTTTGTAGCCCAGGCTTGTCTGGAACTCACAACGATCCTCCTGCCTCAGCCTCCTGAGTGCTGGGATTACAGGCATGTGCCACCATGCCTGGCTAGTCTTTTTATTATTGATTTGCAAAGGTTCTTTATATATTCTAGACTCAAGTCCCTTTCAGATATATAATTTGGAAAAATTTTCTTCCATTCTGTAGGCTTAATTCTTACTACTCTGATAGTGCTATTTAAAGAATAAAAGTTTTAAATTTTTTTGAAGTTTATGTAGTCCACGTTATCCATTTTTTCTCTGTTTTTTTCTGTTTTATGAATCATACCTAAGAAACTAATGCCTAATCCCAGAAGAGGAAGATTTAAACTGAGAAGAGTTTTATAGCTTTAACTTTTACATTTAAATCTTTAATATATTTTAAAGTTAAATTTTGTGAATGGTGTGAAGTTCACATTTATCGTTTTGTGTGAGGATGTCCAGTTCTTTCAGCACAACTTGTTTGAAACATTCTTTCACATTAAATGGACTTGATGCCCCTGTCAAAAATCAAAAAAATCAGTTGACCACAGAAATGTAGGTTTGTTTCAGACTCCTAGTCGTGTTTCATTGATCTGTCTGTTTTTATGCCAGTACCATACTGTTTTGAGTTTTGTAGCTTTACAATCAGTTTCAAAACCGAGAAGTATCAGCCTTCTAACTTTGTCTCCTTTTCTAAGACTGCTTTGGCTATTCTGTATTCCTTCAGATTTCATATAAATTTTAGGGCCCATTTATTAATTTCTATAAAAAAGCTGCCTGAAATTCTGATAAAAATTACATTAATCTATGGATAAATTGATATCTTAAGTGCTTTAATCTACAAACATTGGATGTCTTTAAATGTATTTAGACCTTCCTAAAATTTCTTTCAACAATGTTTTAAAGTTTTCATTGTAGAAATCTTGCTTGTATTTTGATAATTTATTTCTAGGTATTGCATTTATTTGTATTATATTGTAAATGGAATTGTTTTCTCAATTTCATTTTTTAAAGTTTTATTGGGCTGGGGATTTAGCTCAGTGGTAAGTGCCTGCCTGGCAAGTGCAAGGTCGTGAGTTCGATACCCTTAGCGGGAAAAAAAAACAAAACAAAAACAAAAAAATGTTTTGGTTTGTTGTTTTTTATTTTATGGAAAAAAGAAAGTTTTGTAACAAAATAATAGGAGAATAACAATAGTTAATACATTGAGTATTGTTATCTTTAAAGTAGTTAATCAAGGTACAAGATATGGGCTTAAAAATTCTCCAAACAATATTAACACAAACTTTTCTTTTCAATGAATTAATAGAAACTAGTACTATGACTATCTTATGCTTTGTACGACCATCTTATGTTTTGTTTTTGCTTTTTCCTTTCCTTTCTTTCTCTTTTTCTCTATCCTGGTTACTTTTTAACAAGTTCTTCCCATTTACAATATCTATTATGCATTTGAACTTTATTTATTCTTTCATATCCTCACACCAGAGACACTGAGATGTTTACACATATGAGTCTGATTTGTTTCACTTATGAGTATGGTCTCAAGTTGCATCCACTTACATATAAAAGTCTCCAATTCATCCTTCTTTATGGCTGAGTAGTACTCCATTGTATAAAAATATCACATCTTTTTTATTCATTCTTCTGATGCTGGGCATTTGGGTTGTTTCCAAGATTTAGCTATTATAAATTGGGCTGCTACAAACATGTGTACACGTATATTGCTGTGGTATGATGTTTTTAACTCTTCTGGGAAGATACCCAGAAAAGGAATAGCTGGATCAAATGGGACCTCTAATTGTATTTTTTTTTTTTTTAAGAATCTCCACACTGATTTCCCCAGTGGTTGTACCAGTCTACACTCCTACCAACAATGGGGAAGGGTTCCTTTTTTCCTGCAGCCTCTCCAGCATTTGTTGTTGGTTGATTTCTTGATGACAGCCATTCTTTCTGGGATGAGTTGGAATCAAACCGTTGTTTTAATTTGCATCTCTTGCATGATCAGTGATGTTGAACTTTTTCTCATATATTGATTTGCCATTTGTATTTCTTCATCTGAGAAGTGCATATTCATCTCAGATGCCCATTTTTGGATTGGGTCTTTGAATCTGGGGGGGGGGTCCAATATTTTTCAATTCTTTGTATGTTCTACATAGAAGTCCTTTTTCTTTTTTCTTTTTCTTTTTTTTTTTTTTGGTTTTTAGTTTTTCTCCGGTACTGGGAACCGAACTCATGACCTTGCACTTGCCAGGCAGGCGCTTTGCCGCTGAGCTAAATCCCCAGCCCAGAAGTCCTTTTTCTAAAGGACATTGGCTAAAGTTATTTCCTATTCTGTGGGCTGTCTTTTCACTCTGCTGGTGATTTCTTTTGATGTGCCAAAGTTTTTTAGTAAGGTCAGATCACAGTTGTTGATTCTTTGAAGTATTTTCTGTGCAGGAAGTATTTCCTTTGGGTTTTGTTCATGAACTCTCTGCCTACACTATGTCTTCAAGATTTCTACCTACATTGTCTTCCAGTAGATTTAGTGCTTTTGTTTGTAATATTTAGATCTTTGATCCATTTTGACTTTAGTTTAGCACATGGTGATAGACATGGGTCTAGTTTTAGTCTTAGGGATGTACAGAGCCAGTTCTTCCAGCACTTTTTATTAAGCAGGCTATCTTTCTTTCATGTTTGGGCTCTTTGTCAAAGATAAGGTGGCTGAGTGTATTTGTAGTTGTGTTTGCATCTTCTAATCTGTTTTACTGATTCTCAGATTTTTTTTCCAAAACCATGTTGATTTTATCACAGTAGCTTTGTAGTGTAACTTCAAGCCAGGTATTGTAATGCCTCCTGCCTTGCCTTTGTTGCCCAGAATTGCTTTTGCTA